AAGGAATCTTATAGATTTTCTAAAGGAACCTTATAGGAATCTTATATGAATTATATAGGTATCTTTTAGGAAGCCTATGGGTTTCTTATATGAAATCTATAGGAATCTTATAGATGTCTTATTGGAATCTTATAGGAGCCTTATATGAATGATATAGAAAAGTTATAGATATCTTATAGAAATCTTATAGGAGTCTTATATGAATTATATAGGAATCCTGTAGATATTTTATAGGAATCTTATAGATATTTTATAGGAATTTTACAGATTTCCTTCTGGGATCATATAGGCGTCTTATAAGAATCCTATAGAACTCCTTTAGTAATCCTGAAGTTATCTTAAAGAAGTCCTATAGATTTCCTAAAGGAATCTTATAGAAGTCTTATATGAATAATACAGGTCCCTATAGATATCCTATAAGAATCCTATATGGTTTCCATAGGATTCGTATGGGTGTCTTATAAGAATTATATAGGAATCCTATAAGTATTATTTTTATCCTATTGATTTCCTAAAGGAATCGTATAGATGTCTTTCAGGAATCCTATGTGAATGCTTTAGTTGTCTCATAAGATTCTTATAAGAAAGCTGTATATAATGATTTATAACAGATTCATATAAATTTCTTATTTTTGTAAATATATACTGTTTGTTAATGTTAATGCAAGTTGTTATTGACGGGTTAGCTGGTTGTTGACATCCGTTGGTTCCACAATATTGTTTGCATGCACAAGCAGTATTTAATGACTGATGCGTTTGATTTCGAGCTGGAGTGGCTACTGGACGGAAAAAATAATAATGGCTTAAACAACTCCTGCAGACATAAAAAATACACTGAGTTCAAGATATACAAACCATGATTTCTTTAATTAAATACATCAACTATGCATAAATTGCATACCCCTTCACATAATATCGTTCGTCTTAAGCCTTACTGATGCACATACCTCAAATTCCAGCAGTACCTAAATGCTTTACAGTTTTGAAATCAGTTTTTTTTTCTGTAATTTATATTAAGGCGTCAACTAGAGTTTATTATACAAAACCTGTTCAAGAATCTGTCGCGTTACAGGTGTGTATAAACCAGAAATTTTCTGTATGATATTGAAGATTGAGTTGTCTATATCTGTGCTTTTTCTTGTCCAATGGTAGCAGAGTAAATTTAAAATCTTGCTGAAAGATGCCATTGTAGATTCTGCAGAGTGACCAAACTAAGTTTGAAATATTGAATCAAGATGGCTTCGGATTTTCACCCTTGCTTCACATGCTGAAAGATATAACAAAACAATTCTTTTAATCAGAGCAAAGTGATACATACAGTTGTCTTGTGCATTTTGAAACTCTTATTTGAAAAAAAAAAGTGAGTCATGAAAAATCATAATAATACATACACTAGGTCAAAATAAAGAATTGAGGGGCTGGGCAAAATAACCAAGAACTGACAGTTGGAATATGATTAATGCATAATTGTTTTAAAATTTTAAATTATAATAATTAAACAGATTTTGCCGTTTGTGTCTTTAAGGCAAGTAATTAATTAGTATTGAAAATGTATCTTAAAATTTTCTACCCACATTTTAAATTTTGTATTTTCCTTCAACATGAATGTATTAAAATAAGAGTATGATATGCGGTAGCTGAAATAAGAGACTAACACACTTCTTAATCATAAGTCGGTTAATTAGTTGTTCCATCATTTTTTTCTTAGTTTTAAAAGCATTAAAATATTGTGCAATATACTTACAATGTTAATATCCTTTATGCAGTAGGCCTTACACACACATTATTGATTAATTGATAACCTCCACCATTAGTACTAGTGAGTTCCT